TTTCCTTTTTTTTTTTTTTTTTTTTTTTTTTGTTTTAATGGCCGAGGGGTATTAAATTGAAAACTCTTCGAGGAGATCGATTACCGGAACAAATTAAAGAAAGTTCAGGGCGCGTCATGTGCCAGACCCCTTAAAGTTTAGGGGGGCTTGTCGAATTATAATCGTTAAGAGGGGTTATCTGCAAAAACACCCGAAGCATGAAGGCGGGTCTTCTGAAATTGGCCCTTGTTCTAGTTTCTAACTTGCAGTCAATTTGTTTTCAAGGAAGCATGAAGGTGGGACGAGCTGTGATGACAGCAGCGGCGAAACATCTAACACCAGTTGCGCTCGAACTCGGGGGTAAATGCCCGGCCATTGTAGATTCTCTCTCAGGCTCCAGAGATATGAAGGTGCGATCTTAAGATGAACTAAATTGATGATGTCTTTTAATCCTACTAAAATACAACTTTTGTTTCAGAAAATATATCTGCATGTGTTTATTTACTTGATTTATTTTCCCTTCTTTGGAATTCTTTAAGGTCAGCGCGGATCGAATAGTTGCAGGAAAATGGGGCCCTTGCTATGGTCAAGCTTGTGTAGCCATTGATTATTTGCTCGTTGAAGAGAAATTTGCACCCACCCTGGTAATTCATTAGATAAGTAACTCTTAACCTCTGCTTGTATGTGTAGTTGTTCATCTACGTAGCAGTTTCTTCGGGTTAAAATTTGCTACTTGCAGATTGAACTGATCAAGGGAACGCTGAAGAAATTTGACATAAAACCCGAGCGCTCATCAAGGATTGTCAACAAGCATCATTTCGAGAGGCTGAGCAACCTGCTGAAGAATCCTTCGGTTATGTCATCAATCGTGCACGGTGGTTCCGTGGATGATAAGAACCTGTAAATTCCTTTGAACCCTTTTGCCCGCATCGTTTTACTGTCGTCTCAGGGCTAAAACAAATTTAATGAATAAAATGTAGGACTATCCAGCCGACTATTCTGGTAGATCCCCCGCTGGATGCTGAAATCATGACCGAAGAGATATTTGGTCCGTTGCTTCCAGTTATCACTGTAAGTTATAGTTCTTACGACGAAACGATTTTCAGTATATGAAAGAAAACTGCTTGGAGATTTGAACCTCACACTTGGTTTCTCTTAAAACAGTTGAAGAAGATTGAGGACAGTATTGGCTTTATAAGGGACAGGCCGAAGCCTCTCGTTGTCTATGCCTTCACCAAGAATGAGAAACTGAGGAGACGAGTCATCGATGAAACATCATCAGGGGCGGTCACTTTTAACGACACCCTATTACAGGTATTGCATCTGCCAAAATTTGAGCCCCAGAGCTTCACAAAGTATAGAAAATCAAGAACTTACAGAATTGTACTAAACACCCTATTAAATGTTTTGAGATATTTCTTCTTGCAGTATGCTTGTGATACGATACCGTTTGGAGGAGTCGGTGAGAGTGGATTTGGGAAGTATCACGGCAAGTTCACATTTGATACATTCAGCCACGGCAAGCCAGTCTTGAAAAGGGAATTCTTGAACGAGTTCAGTTTCAGATATCCGCCATGGAATGGGCAGAAGATTGAACTAATGAGGCGAATCTACAACTACGATTACTTGGGATTTATTCTGGTGTGGCTCGGACTTAAGAGATGATGATCAATCTCTACATGTATCTGATTGTTTGATGAATACTGCTATCCTTTTCGTTACTGAATAAGCTTCGTCGAAGTAGCGCATTTCCACATGTCCATGTGCGAAGTAACACGTCGATTAGAGCATGGAAATAGAATTTGTACGTGCAAGTTTCTTCAGTTTCAGTTCTATAAAGTGACAATACTGGCAGAATTGAACCCTCCAATGTCTTGTGGCTGTGTACTTTGATCATCTCATCCCTGCATAAACATGTCAATGTGGAAACAGTATTGATCTTATTATGCCTCTTCTTTCACTGCCTGTTTTCTAGGCGTCACCGTGCCAAAACTCGGAACATCATCAAGAGAAAAATGGTGAGAACAAGATATGGGGTTGGAAAACATCGACAGGCAAATGCACAGACATTCCTGGCATTATATTCTGAGTGCAAATACATGAAAATTGCCTGCCCAGTATAAGGGCTGTGTAAACTCTACCTAACATAACTAAAAGGCTTTACTTAGCAGTATACATCAGAAAAAGCAAATGTAGCCCACCCCTCGTATTACAAAGCTACCTGAGAGCAAGTAATTGTGCATTGAACTACTTCATCCACCAAAGAGTAATCAATTGATCCTTTACCACCCCTTATTATGGCCAACCAACCTGCACAACATGGTAACAAAGTCAGTCGACGCTAGCAGAAACATCAAAATATGAATACCTTTGTCTTTCAAAAATACTAAGATGGCCTGCAGGCTCCTTTGCTGCTAATATTTGGCATTTATTTTGCATTAAGCCATTAGTTCATGTTTCGAAGGCATATATTCATGTTTCAAAGGTCATTTTTGTGTAGACTGGTAATTTTGCTTCATTAGACCATTCAGAGAAATAGCACCAAGAAACATCTTGCAGAGCGTAAACTTACCATGAATCACAATATTAAAGGGTGCGGGTTCATCTTTCGGTAGCTTGATATGGGTTTGAGGAGCTGACTTCTGTACATCGTGCATCGAGAAATGTGTACTTTAATCTTTTCAATGACCAATGTTTTCTCTTAATTTTGAAGTAGGAAACATCAAGTCCTAGCATGTAGTCAATAGTCAGCAGTGTTTGGTGCTATTTTCCGGAAGTATTTTGTTTCTCTTTCATGGCTTCCTTTTCCAATTTCTTTTTTTCTGCTTCTGCATTACGAGCATTCTCATCCCGTGCTTTATTGAACATATTGACGAAGATGACCAAAATTGATGTCACTGTACACAACATATATGTGTTACATACGTGTAAGAATTCCAATTGATAAGGAAAAAAGTAATCTAACTGCAACAATGTATTTTTTTGGAGGGAAAATAAATTAACATTCATTAGGCAAACTAGGTTACCTAGAGAATGACAAATGAAGGAAAGAAAGCCGGGACAATGTTACATAAAAACCAAAAACCTCAAGGTTTCATTTCGTCTTCACAAAATTCAATGTCAAGCAAATTTTCATGCAGCAGGTAGAGGACAGATGCTTTCATTTTCCATCTTTTGGCAATTTCAATAGACAAAAAAATAACTTCTATTCTATTTATTTCTTCAAGCTCGTGAAAAGTGCAATTGGTAAGTGCACATTGCAGTCAAGCAGCGAACATATAGGCTTCAGTCAAGTTCAAGTCAGAATATCCAGAACTTTTAGTTGACTGTTATATTTTTTCCCTATAGTTGGGTTTCCCTTGATAGGAGTATAATGTCGACACACATCTGTCAGAACTCAGTGCTCACTGCATCAAGGTCGTGCATATTTCGAGTCTAATGGATGCAACCTCTTTCATTTAAAAGATGAAAATACTAATGAACAAATAAAACAACCACTACAACAAAAAAGCCTTGATCCCAAACAGCAACCGCAACCACTTTCTTCCATTCAATTCAGCCAAGGGCTATCTGTCCATAAGTTAATCATTATTATTGAGAGAATTGTTCATTCCTTATTTAGGGGCTGTTTTGTTCAAGTAAAATTTTGGCATTTGGTGTGGATTACAAATTTTGGGATCAAAAAATGTGTTTTATTGGGATTTGAGATCCCATATTTGGTGTTCGTTTCAATAATTTTTTTGGAATATTGAGTCCAAAAAATGGAAGAAGTACCCAATTTTTAGAATTTGTTAAATTCTCTCAATTGGGCAAATCCCATAAATAGATATGCTTACCTCTCTTTATATACCTTTGTATTTTGTTTTCTTGTGAGAGATAACCTCACCAAGGTAAGCATATATACTTTTTTTAGAATTTTTTATATAATTTGGGTTTGAACGAAACAAGATATTACAAATTTTAGGATTTGCTTTTCTATAATATGTTGAACCAAACAAAATATTAGAAATCCCAAAGCATGTATAAAACCCTATGGATTTGAAATTCTCTATGAGATTACAAATCCTAAAGTTTTGATATTTGAACCAAACAGCCCCTTAATCCCACAATAGTTAGGGACCAACTCCTTTGTTTCTCAAAACACTATTAATAACAACCAAGAGAGAGAGCTAATAATCTCTCTATGGTTTCACATTAACATGGTATCAGAGCCACTCTCTCTCCTCTCCAATTTTCTAAACCCTAGCCGCCACCCTCTCAAACCCTAGCC